GAATTGTTGAAATAACATGTCACCTGTTGACGATATCAAATCATCAAATTCACGTTCACTAACTGATAATAAACCAATGATGTTAAGTAAAACGGGTGATAATGGAGAATAAAATGCATCTTGATCAGGACTGTCATGTATAGAGAACTTTTGTAAATAGTCTTCATATGTCAGTTTTTGCATTTGTTTACCTTGTTCACTTAAAAATAATCGAATCAAACGTATAGAACGAATCAGCTGGATAATTTCTTCTTGTGAATCGACTGTGGCAGCAGCAGCAAAAGTTGACGAGTTAAACTGAGGTAGTTCGCATTCGCGAAGAATATCAGCGGCAGACACTTGACATTCACGATTGTGAGCTGAAATAAAACAAGGGTAAACAATAATGGTAAAACACTCGTAAAAAAGAATCTACAAATCTACAAAAATGGGCAAAAAATAGTGAAATTCTTGCGCCCTCAATTCTAACTGAAAATTATTTAAATTATAGATGAAAAAAAAATAGAGCTTTTCGAGGCGTACACGATGGCTAATTCAGCTTTCCTCTCTCACAAACTTTTAGCAGATAATACTAAAAAACACTGTAAATACGTTTATTTTTTCAACATTCTAGTACTTCTAACCGTTTCTCATGTCATTTTACACCTTTGGATTTTGCAATAAAATAATCAATACATTCTTTGTAGAGAATTCAACAGGAACTCTTTTGGTAAAAAAACTAGCTCAATCAAGTGTAAGAAGGAGAAGAAACTTTGAAATACAAACAGTCTAATTTATTCTGCGTCACCCTATACGTTCAAACCAGAAGTAAATCATAGAACAAGATATAACAAATTCGCTTTCTTGTTTCTTTCTCGTGTCACATGTTCAAGCTTATGGAGTGAGCGGCTACGATAAAAGAAGCATTTCTAATTGAAAGTCTGAAGCAGCTTCACTGTTGTTGTCCACTCCCACTCAGTAAATTCTTAGGCCCAACAACATACTCCATACTATTATGTAATAAAAAAAGCAATGCAATAGATCTACACTTCGTGTAGCTTATTGTTGCCTTGTAAATCGAGCTTACATTTTCTCTCTCTTTTGGCAGGTTTGATAGTGGCAACTGGTGCTGGTGTAGATATGATTATATCTGGTTGTTTTGCAATAGATGTTGTTTGAATTTCTAACGGTGTTTTTGGTCTAAAATCGCAATCTGTTTCATAGACTTCTTTACTTCCTTTTGTATCTTCATCAGTTTTCTCATGTTCACTATCACCACTCCAAATATCTTCTAAATATTCTTTAGAATTAAATTTTGTTGGCCGCCTAATTTGTCGAGTTCTTGTACGTTGAATTTGTGAGTTTGTTACTCGCAAACGTTCTTGCATCTTTGATAATAAAGTACAATGTTTGGATAAACTTGTCCATGATACACATAAACCTGAATAATAAAGAGAAAACATATCATCGTATACATTCTATATGCTCAACTAAAATCTCTAACGAAAAAAAAAGATATTTACCCTGTTTATGTCTTAAAAATGTAATCTGATCGTGTCCAAAATGCTCATAGAGTCGTTGTTTAGTCAAGCTAATTCTTGTTCGATTTTGTTGTCGCCCGTCACTTGAACTGTCACATCGTTTTTGAATTTTAGACCATTTTTTCTGCAACGATCGAAACGGTATTAAAAAATTTGAATTTAACGCTTGCTCAACATAACGGTAAAAATTTTCGAGATGAGATTCTTCGTTTTCAATCTGTTGCTCATGATTAACGTCAAGAATAGGAGCAGCATTGACATTTATGATCTGTGTTTCTTTATCACTAGAATCGATTTCATCTAGAAAAAATGATAAGCAAGACAAAATATAACACATTCTAGAAAAACTATTTTTCTTTTTCTCTTACTTCTTTCATTAGTCGTCATCGTTTGACACACAATGTTGTTGTCGAAATAATCATGATCCAATATTATATTTGTTAGTAGATCTTTTCTATCTGTTTGTTGTTGTTTATGTTGAATTTTATTTTGATATTTATTTTGATAATAGCGTAATTCACTTTTACACATTGTTTCGAATGTCACATGACATGGTTTTAAACCTATGGCTTGACGTATATTAGACGATAAATAAATATCGACAAGATTATACGGTGTTCTATCAGGATTAGGTTCAATTGATGACGATGAAATTCTAAAATATTTTAATAATCTTTTTTGTTACAGAATATTCACGAATAGATCGAGAAAAACTAGATGAATTGTCGTATTTTTTAAGTTTCCATGCTAGTAGCTATAAATTGGATCTGGACAAAAATTTCTGAAAATGTTCATTGTATCAAAGTATGATGACGAAATTTCTTTTTGATTCAATATTTATTCGTTCGCGAGATGTGGTTACAACAATGGTAAAAATGTTCGTGTTTTCCAGATAAATGCTGGAGAGTTAGTTTCAAAAAATGAAGCGAACACATACGACTAGAGGTAGAGACAGCGACCTATCTTTGAATATCTGTATGGCTGATTTTTGGCAGCCATCGAAAGCAGAAAATATTCAAAATCTTTGTTTACTCAAAACTATCCAGTCGGTCACCTATTTGTTTGAAATTCGTTTTAAGGCGGTTTTAGCTTCAAAATATCGCGCGAAAATAAACTGCTTACGAAAAATTTACTGCGAGAAATTCATTTAAAAAAAAAAGCGCCAGAATCGCGTTTGACGTAATCACAGGTTGCGTTAAACGCGCTAAATTTTTCGTAAACAGAGTGTCGCGCGATACTTTAAAGCTAAACTTGCGTTTTTTCACGCTTTTTATACAAAATTTGTTTTTTCGCGGTTCTTGAGCCAATCTCGCGTTGCATTACGTTAGAAACGAGTTTTTCACTCATTATTTTTTATAAAAATGCCTAATTTCGCGACTTCAGCCTACGAAACGAGTTTTTACGTGTCAAAGAAACTATCACATAACTTTTGAAAAAGTGAAACGCGTTTTTCAAATTTCATTTCTAGCCAGAACGCGTTAAAATCGTTTTAATTGAGTCTTAAACACGAAAAATTCGGTGACGCTTACGAGTCTTGAAGTCTATTGTGACTGAAAACGCGTTTTTAAAAAGTTATGATGGTCATAAACGCGTTTCTCGCGAATTATTGATGGCAAAAACGCGGTTTGGATTAAGGCGTATATTTAAAGCTCAAGAAATTCGCCGTATTCATGGTGAAACTGTATATTCTCGCCCTCTATGAATGCCAAAACCGTGTTAAAACATATTGGTTACTGACTGGGTACAGCAAAATTCAAAAATCTGACTCTATCAATCTCTAGTTTTGACTTTGGAGCTGTTCAATCATGTATAAATAACGATATTTTTGAAGAAAATTTGACTTTTTCTGACAGAAGGATCTCAGTTAAAAACACCGTTGCTTACCCGGGTTTTGATAAATTGATGTCAAATATTGATGAGGTTTTTAATAATTTTTCTTTCAATTCTTTTGTATAATAATGTAAACATTTTCGATGTACAAAAGCTTCATATTTAATTTGATCGGTGAGAAAAGATGATGTTAAAGTTTCTCGTAAAAAACGTTGATATAAAATGAGTTGTTTCAATTCTGATAAATTTTCTTTATTTGTTAAAACAGTCCAATGATGTAAATCTCGCGTTTCAGGTGTAATTAAAGTTTCACACAATGCACAAGATAGTTTTGAATGCGGTATAAAAAATTTTTTTAAGTAGAAATCAACGGGAACAAATGAACAGCAATCACATAAAGAATCAGAAGGAGAAATGATGCTAGATGGCTAAAAAGAAAAACTAAATAAAAATACTCTATGAACAAATCGATAAACTATTTTCTCTTACTTGATTATGTTCTGGATGTGTTTTTTGTTCGTACAGAATTTTTTTCGATTTCAAAAATGTTTTTAAACGTGATTGATAACAATAAAAATGTAAATACTTTCCCATCAGATTATCGACCGTCAATCCTTTTGAATCTATTGTTAGGCCACGTTGTATATTTCGTTCACGTATATAAAATAGAACACATCTAGCCAAGTTTTGTGTTTTTATTTGACGATATTTTGTTCGTTGAGGATGAAAATATATTTGACAATTACACATTGGACATAAGTTAAAAAGTGAACACGCTTTCGGCAATAAATTAGAATTTAATCGTACAATAATAACCGATGAAGATTGTGTTTCTCGTTGTTGAACGGGTAGAATTGTTTGTGCAAGATTGTGCTAAACAAAGATAACATAAATAGTCACTAAATGGTTAAAGCCTAAGTATTTAAAACAAACATCTGATCAGTTGGATGGGTGATTTAAAACACTAAGACATGAATAAATTGTGCAAGATTATTACATAGCTTGTTATTTAAACAATTCATATATTAGATGATTCTAAGCGGAGCCAGTTTCTATCAAAATTTTGGTCAACATCGATATAGTAGCGATACATTATAACGACAGAACCTNGATAACATAAATAGTCACTAAATGGTTAAAGCCTAAGTATTTAAAACAAACATCTGATCAGTTGGATGGGTGATTTAAAACACTAAGACATGAATAAATTGTGCAAGATTATTACATAGCTTGTTATCAGCGCTAATGTTAGCATAGAGCACCTGTGAAGCATGTGACGAACAACATACCTACTAAGTCATGCTCTTTGTGGCAAAAAAGATGGTAGACAGAATGAATATTAATTGAACTCTGTATGATTGTATCATACCTGTACGCTGTGCTCTTCGATCGAAATCGTCTCAACCGATGCATCTTCGTCGTCTTCATCCTCATCAGGAATAAGAAATCCACTGTGTAGGCCTCGTGCTGGATTTTGTTCCTAATGAAAAATAGAAACAAAATTTAAGAATTGATGAGTCATTGTATTCAGAAGTAGTTACGGTCAATGGATTGTTAATCGTCTTTTCTTCTCTTTGTGTGTCAGTTTCAACGTCTTCATTATCTGACCGTAGCACTACATACTCATCTTGATCAATAATATCTTCATCAATCTTTTCGCCCTTAATTATGATCGACGTGGACGAAGACTTATACAAAGAACTGCTAGTCATTTTACACAATCGAAGTTGACATTAAAGTGGTAGAAATAAACTTTTTCAGTGTATAGTAAAACTCATTATATCATCAAGCAGCGACGATAAAAAACAAAATATAGTAAGTTTTCAAATTTTTCTCACATGAGAGGCCAGAGGGCGAGGGAAATGGCTATGTGACCAGTCATCGTTAACAAAAGTTATTTTGCTTTATTCAGTTATACAAACCTACATCTTAGGTTATTGTGTTAGAATTTGGTTTAAAATGACTTACAAGCTTTGATTTTTTGAAATACGTGAGTGAAATAGTTATGCACTTTTGCGCGGAACTTTGGCGAGGAACACCACAACTGATATTTATTATAATTAAAAAACATTGAAAGAAAATCTTAGGGCTTAGAGAATCTTTGGTTAAAATATTTGGTGAATTTGAACGGGTAATATTAAAATGCCGAGAAAAATTTGCTTAACTTATTTCCTAGGAGCACTGATTGGTTGAATAAAGTGTGGACGCGTAACGATAGAGACAGGAAAAAAGTCATCGTTATTGAGGCAAAAGCAAGAAAAAATGGCGAAATAAAAATACGCATCAACAATAAAAGTGAAATAAATAAGTAGCGCTTATCTACGATTCGCTTCTTTCCTTAACTTCAGCTTTGTTTAGAACGACATATCAGTCAGGTTAGGTTCATCTAAATTATCACTCATCTTGGAAAACTTTTCCGCTTCGCTTCATCGTTCATGAAGTATAACGACGGTTAGTTAAATAAACAAGGTAACACTCGTCTGCAGTCGCTCGGTCCCTTGACTATGTATATCTGCGAACGACCTGTCATGACTTTGAATCCAAGATAAAGCTTACACCTCCCTTCAGTCGGTGTTTGGTACCCTAGAAAGATCCGCAGAGATCTAAAAGTACTTCTGAACTGAAGTGAAAGCTCACGCGTCCCTTCGGTCTAGGTATGCACCGGTATCGGTATTCATACCGAAATACCGATACCGAAAATACCGATATCGACAATACCGAACTTCGGTGTATACCGATACCGAAAATACCGACTTTTTTCACTTGGAATTTTTTCATTTGAAATGAGATGTTTTAGCGTCCTGGACACCCAGAATGAATCAGGGAAGGAAAACAAGAGCTTTGTTTGCTTTCTAAAGCCAAAGTTTTTCTTTTCTTTCTATCTGAACATGCTCAAAATACAGAGCTGAGTGTTGTTTATACGTTCTGCTTGTCCAGGATGCTAAAATACCTCATTTCAAATGAAAAAACTCAAAAAATTCCGGGTAAAAAAAAATCGGTATTTTCGGTATCGGTGTATACCGATGTTCGGTATTTTCGGTATCGGTATTTGGTATACCGATACCGGTGCATACCTACTTCGGTCGGCGTTCGCATCTATAGTGTTTTTAATGACTAGTGGGACAAACGAGAGCAAAGTGGATTTCCATTCTGTTTTCCCCAGTGAGAAAAGTATATCCCACTTTGTTTTCCAGTTTCCTTTTGACAAATTTCCACTTTATCTTTTTTTCATATTGTCTGCCTTACAAAATTAATCCATCCATCTCTGTTTGTTGAACACTTATGAGCGAGAGAATCAGTATAATTTCTGTTTAATCGTCTAATTTTCATCATAATACGACATCGCTAATGTCTGAAGATTAACATCAACATGAAAAAATCTCTTTTAGCCGGTGTTAGGCAAAAAATTTCAACTGTTCCCATTTTGTCCACTTCATATCAAAGTGGAAAATCCCACTTTGACCCTAACAGTAAACTGGAAAGTTCCACTCTGAAAAAAATTCTTATGAAAAATACTGCTCATCTAGGAAAGATGAGAAATATTGCGAATTTCTCTGATTCCACGAAAAAAGCGCATAATGTATAAACCTAAAAAGTTTTCTGGATACACACACACAGATGGACAACTATTTTGTAATATCCTAGACTAAATCCAAGGGAATAAATTCTTAAGACGGCAATAAAAAAGAGTGCCGTTATACCTTCTCACTGGAATAGTATCAACCAAACAGAAAAGAGCCTAACAATGGAACGCTTTGTACTGTCAAGCCGCTTTCAAGTTCGGAGCATGTGTATTAGATAGACCCCGGTGAGGTATAAAAACCTCAAAAGGCTATGTGCTGATGGGCCTTCCCTCCAGAGTTACAGTCATTATACTGAAATTGGCCTATTAGCCTACCATACTGAATTTTAGTATCTACCAAAAACACTAATCACGATATTTCGACCTGAAATTTTGCCCACAAGTAGGCCTACTTGTAACTAGAATGTTCTGCAAATTTCAGTTCAAAAGAATGTTCCCTTCTTGAGATATTGAATTTCCAAAATCACTCATGTTCTACGAAAAGATTGGAGAATGTCAGGTTTTTGGGAAA